CTTCTTGGGACTTACTTAAGTTGTTGATTTTTTCATCTGTTTCTTCTAGATTCTTGCATAAGTAGTTGAGTTTTTCATCTGTTTCTTCTTGCTTCTTGAACATCCGGTGCATATACTCTAGGAACCTTATTCTGAATTCTTTTTCCGTCATGTTGCATATCTCTGTCTCACTTAGCTGCTTTTCTGGCGAGTCCTCCTTTTCTTTCCTTTGGGGGTTTCTTTGTCTACCCATGTTTGATCTCACTGACATGACTAGTTGTTGAGTCGTTCAGTGGCTGGACCCTGGGTGGCAGTGGCTGCTCCCTGGGTGGCAGTGGCTACTCGGGCTGTGGTTGCTCCTTGGGCGGTTGTGGTAGCAGCGGCTCCTCTGTTGATAGCAGAGCCTCTGGTGGGTGCTGTTCACAGCTGTGGTGGCTCTTCTGGCTGGTGGAGGGAGGCTTCACACACAGCAACTGTTCCCCAGGCAGAGCGTGTGGTGATCAGGAGGCCGCTGTTGCTTGAATCTGCTTTCCGTGGAGGGGTGCAGGTCTCCTCTGGGCTCTTGCAGTCGTGCTGCTTGCGAGTCGTTGCCTCCGGGTTAGTAGCCGCCGGGTTAGTAGCCGATCTCTGGATCCAAATTGTTGTTTCTTTCTCTCTCTATCTCCTCCTTCCTCTCTTTTGAGAACAGACGTAAGGACCTCCTTTGTGTCACTTCTTGCCAAAGTGCCTTCCAAAGACCAAGGGCATCCGGAGTCCTTAGAATAACTTTAAACATGCAGATTCCTGGGCCCCATTTGCAACCTCCTGACTCAGAATCTCCAGATGTGCACCCTGCCAGGCAGGAGGGACCGCTGTGTTTTCTTCCTCCTAAAGGCCGAGAAATCCAGCAAGCAAGGTGAACCAGCTATCAAACCCCACCTCCGAGCCAGCTCTCCCAACTCCTCGAAGTTCAGATTTTTATCAGCCAATTGCCACGTCATTAGTCTTGGACTGACTTGTTTGGTTGTCTGGTAAGTTAATGTTCAAGAAAAAATATTAATTTTTATTAAAATGTTCTATTATTTTATGTTAACGATTACTCATTTATTGCAGCCCTCTTTGTATTCAGCATGTCTCTATCGAAATAAACCTACGTTTCTATGAAAAAAAAAAAAAAAGAATCCAAGTTCATGTCAAGTAGGCAGTTGGATACAGGAGTCAAGGCTCAGGGCCAGAGCCGGAGACTTTATTTTGGGAGGAGAAACTGGTGAGGGAGGAGAACTGAAGTGTGGGGTCCCAGAGACCCAGAGATGGGACAGTGTCGGGAGGAGGGGTGGCCAGGAGGGGGTGTGGTGGGGGGCCGACAGGGAATGACTCCGGGGTCTTGCCCACAGGGGTTGTGGCTCAGGGGATGGAGGTGATGAGGCTCCCTGGATGGATCGGTGAGTAGACGGCAGGAGAGAGAGAGTGAGCAGTAGCTGAGGGCCGTGGTTTGAGAAGATCTGCTTTGTTACGATTCAGTTATTTGA